CACTTGGGAGTTTCAGATCTGGAAAAAAAATTATGTGCATACTCAGCAGAGACTTGTTCATCAACCTACCAAGTTTCACTGATATCTGCTGTAGAATTTCTGAGAAAATGTTGGAGACGGAAAAATGGACATAACCTGAATTATAAAGTCCCCTTTTCAGGCTGCGCCTGAACGGGGACTAATTAATACCTGCTTTAGGGTAGGTCAGTAACCATATATCGTCGTCCATTACTTCAAATGTCTTCATAGCATCGAATACAGCCTCTGTAACTAATTTGGGATATCGACGTCCTCCATAATAGTTGCAATCTTCAGCTTTGACAAATTTAGTGTGTTCATCCATTCTTGTTTTGGACTGCAAATTCAAACATATACAGATTTTTCTTAGTTATGGTCGAGTGTGTACCAAAAATATAAAGCGACACCCCACTGTCACGAGTTGCAGCTTTGAGGAATCAGTGTCGATAATAATGTTATATCATCACCTGTGTGTCCCCTACTACAACATACTACAAATAAAAGCCTACTACAAATTTCATAATAATCTTGTTGAGGTATCATTTCCCAAACCCTTATCTATATAAAACATTCGTATGGTTTCAGTAACAGTAATTGAAATATACCAAATAAATAATATTGTGGTCTTGTACACATGCGTTTCAAATGATGATGCTCTTCAATAAAGCATCAGGTTATGGAAAATCCATTCATTCATAGTTAAATAAAGTATCTAAAATTGAGTGCACATGGTTAAAACTTGTTTTCATAATCACTGCGATTTAGGAGGGGGTCTCATCAATGTCTTTTCTGAATGGTAAAATATTGGATAAAGTGTATGCCAGAATATACATACACTAATGAGTATATAACTGATATAAGCTTGGTTTGAAAATGTACAACGTAGATACACAAATTGGGTGTCTAGTGTAATTCAAGTATTATTAGATGATTTAAAACACAATATTTGGAAAGAAAAACAGTGAGTCTTAATTAAAGACATTTATGGAAAAACTGAAGCTCAATGCAGAAAAGTTGTTAAAAAATATGCACAATGACGACAAAGGCACAAACCGTATATAAATAAACAGTGAACTTACAGAAAATTAAAAACAGATTTTTAGCTAAAAAGTACTTGCAAATAATAAAATAAATACTATATCGCTCTGCACCATCGCCCACAGATTAAATCGGGGAGATTCAACAATGTT